CGAGTTTGGTCTCGAACTCCCGGGTTCGAGACTTCATGATCAGCAGTAGACTACAACCACTAGATCAACGAGGCAGTCAAATTTTTTTCAGTCAGATTTTGTTAATAATGTGACTACGAAAACGTTATCGTTATTTATGTACGCACTTTGACGACTTTAAGTTTATTTGAAACCTGTAACTTTATTTCGTATTTGCCTAAAGACAGTAAGTATCGTAAATGAAAATACAACACAAGGCATATTTACCGTGCCAGCCTATGGCTTACTACACCTGCCGGCACCCGCGTGATCCACAGCTGTGTGGAAGGTTCCAGTGCTTCAACGACTTTACATTGTGCGCATTTGTTTTAGCGGATTGATTAATAATTTTAGTTTTTGAGACAGTTCCGTGTTGACTATCACAAGGGACAGTTCAATTGTTTTCTTTATTAAATTATTGTTATTTATTACTAGAAGCACATTGGCAAAATAGTAGGTTACGTAGATAAGTTAGGTATTTAGACAAGTGTTGTAAATTATTAGGTATTGTGGTATGGCCCGCTAGCTGCGCGCCGCGCGATTCGGCGTTCGCGCGTACAGTGACCCCTAGTCAGCTGATTGTAATTTAGTAATTCCACTGCTGGTTTTATGTTTAAGTATTTTCATGATTTTTTTAATGAAATTATCGTTTCATTTAGCTGTACTAACATGATAGAGAATGAATAAAGCTAATAAAACGTTATATAATTTATGAATTATCCACTAAAGACGTCCGCAGCCTTGCTTATCAAATGGCAAATATAGTTAATATAAAAACTCCTGATAGTTGGAATCGTGAGAAAATGGCAGCCCTTGAATGGCTTCGGTCATTAATTTTCAAGTAATCTTGATATGTCTGTGCCACCGCTTTTTACATAGAGTGGATAGTGGTGGAGATGTGACGACTTGGTAAGACATGAGAGTGACGACCTGGTAAGACATGAGAGTGACGATCTGGCAAGACATGAGAGTGACCACCTGCTAAGACATGAGAGGGACGACCTCGTAAGACATGAGAGTGACGACCTGGTAAGACACGAGAGTGACGACCTGGTAAGACATGAGAGTGACGACCTGGTAAGACATGAGAGTGACAACCTGGTAAGACATGAGAGTGACGACCTGGTAATACATGAGAGTGACGACCTGGTAAGACATGAGAGTGACGACCTGGTAAGACATGAGAGTGACGACCTGGTAAGACATGAGAGTATCGACTTGGTAAGACATGTAGGAATTCGATGGATGCAGGTGGCTCAGGACTGTGCTTTGTGGCATTCCCCCAGGGAATGCCACAAAGCACAGTCCTTTAATAAGAGTGGACTTGTGAAGGGCTGTAATGAAAATGACCATGATTATGAGACTGATTGCTATTAATAAAGTTACAGATAATAAAATAAGTTGACTAAGCTGGTTTTTTAGTGTTTGATAATAATTTTGTTGATTTTATAACTATTCAAAACCTTAATTTTTGTTTAAGTTTCTTTTACTTTAATAAAATTAAGTCGAAATAAAATGGTGTGTACTGTTTACTATGATTAAAATAAACTAATAAGACGAAGGTTATAAGCAAGAAGCACTGTTTTATCAATGTAATTACCAAATTCATTGCCAAAAGTACAAAATAGTAAGTACAGCGGATTTTGGCTCATTGTTAAATATAGCTAGGCTCATTGTGTACACAATTGTGTACACAATGGATTCATTTCCCATTTTTTTAAATAACCTTAGTCATAAAATATATATAAATATTTTGAGAAAAGTAATAATGCCAGTCTATAGCCGATTAAATTTGCTATCTTCGCCTAAAAAATTATATCTAATATCTTAAGAAAAAGCGATGTTATTAAGTCCTAAAATTTAAGTGGCTCATGGTATGACAGACTAGATTTACCCTAGATTAAATTTGTGTACAAAATAAAAATTCCATTGAAAAATCATCATTTAATTATTTTACTGAAGTGTTTTGATATTTTACATTTTTACTTTATTAGAAACGTACAAAACATTAGCTTTTTTTGTATTATATACAATCAGAAATTCATTATGAATAAATGCTTACAATTTTTTTTATATACATTTACTATTACATAAACTTGGCTTATAATGGATACAGGATACAGTTAAACCAAACGTCAAATGATAAAACCAACCAATCACAATGAGGGCTAATAATTTTCTGCCCGCCAGACGTCGCTAGTTGGGATTGAGGTGAAATTATTTGTTACACAGTGACACCTTAAGTAAAAGTCGGGTTTCAAATAAAAGTTTTTCAGTTTCTAGTGGCATATATATCTTTAGTATCTAGTGGAATAGTACCTAATATACACAAAAAAATGGCTGTGGTTACTTTTAAATTTTTGGCACATTTTTTTGAAATTCTTTAAGGGAATATTTGTGATTTGGTTTATTTATTTTGATGTAATTAATAAAATAACATAACTAATATTTCAGAGAGAAACATAAACTTAAAACAACAAATTAACTTCGGCTCTATGCAATCTGTCAAATATTTCACCTCATTTCAAAGTGGCGCTATCCTGTTGGCGGAAAATTTTGTGGATGTCATTTCCCAACAGCTACATAATGGCACTGCAGAATCGCATTACCAAATGACAATTACACATAGATCAACGATAATTATATTATGTGATGCTATTCAATAGTTTGGTTAAATTATTCCTTATCTCGTTTAGGCTGTGAAAATTTTCTTTTTTGTTCACCGACATTACACAGAATAATGTGGCTCACAGGGTATTGACCCAAATCGCAATATGAATGATCAACTGAAATGATCCAGTTTATGTAACAAATTAATATCCAAACTCTAAAAATGACTGACTACACTGGTTGGCCTAGTGTTCAATGTACTTTGCTACAACATGGTTGGCTAAATCGAATCCAAACAGGAAACAAAATTTGTGGATAAACATAAATTGTTGATTTTGGATCTAATTTTGTTGTCCTTATAACATATCTCGGACACAGCACTGTAACCGGCCACTGATAGACCGCCACACTGAAGCGTATTATTGCTGTAGCATGAATGGCTTGACTCAATCAGGGAAGGACTACAATCTCACATAATGCCAATGTGACTTAGTGGAATAATACTGCTGTTTGGTACGATGAGTGAACTCTATGAACTCTATGAGGTGTTTATAGGCTACAGCATCCACTTATCATCAGGTGGACTGTGTGTTTATCATCCTAAATTTCATATAAAAATATATATGATTCATCTTAATTGAAATCATTTACTTTTTAAAGTGTAGTGACGGTGTAAGAATATCCACTGCCCCATATCGTCCCATGAGTGTTGTAAGAGGTAACAGAGGAAAACAATCCAGAAGATGGACAGCAGCGTCCGTCTTTTACAAATAGAAAATAAAAAAGTACAATTGCCAATCTGACTGCTGCTAGGCGTATCAAATACGGCAAATATTATCTCCCTTATGAGGCAATCTATGGGCAGGCCTACATTTAGCAGTGAACTTGATAAGCTGTAATAAATGAATAAATATTGTAATTAGTATGCAACCTGAGTAGAAACACATTAATAATATTTAGAAATGCCTTTTACAAACTTCATACAAAAATGATATCCAGTATTAATTAGTACAATTAGATATGCCTTTAATTAATATTACTTTACTAATTCGTCAACAAAGGAGACAATCGTTTTTGGGCCCACTAGATATTGTAACGTAACTTAATTTTATTACACATAAAAAAGATACCAATTTGTTATATTAAACGGCCTAAAGATTTTATGAAAATCTAACCGGAATCATGAAATCTGAAAAAAAGACTTGTTTTGATATTCGTCTTCTAACTAATGCAGAGAAAAAAAACGCGTGTAACGAACAGGGGTATGAAAGTCCTCAATAGCTTGCTTTTACGTTGATACTAGTGCCATGTCATACGCAACAAGAGCACTTCACAATTTTTACACATTTTAATCAAGAAATGACGCCACTGCTAGCATTATTATAATTTATTGTTTATTTCAAAAATCAGTTATTATTTTATTGTAAATACTATAATATTTTGGAAATTAGGTATAGCCAGGGGTATAAAAGTCCTCAGTAGCTTGCTTTTACGTTGATACTAGCGCCATCTCACAATCATTCAAAGCACTATTTTCCAGAATATTTTAACACATTTTATTAAAAAGATGGCGTCACTGCTTGAAGCCTATTTACATAAATTGTTAATTTCTCAGTATTCCCGTTAGATATGGTAAAACTAATATTACTTTTGTAATCTATAGGTTATAAGGAATAAATCGACATGTATTTCAGTAAGTTATGCCACAATTTGTGGTGGGCCCATTCTCCATACAAAAAGAAATTGTCTCCTTTCACAATTTAATATTCATTGCTTATATTGACACATGGCAACATACAGATTATTTGAATTTCTTCACTGTTAACAAGGTATATTAAACAAGTGTTTCTTCAACTAAAGCCCATCATACATAATGCCTGTAGTTGGTATAATAATGTCTTCCAGATCGAATTTCAGTCATGGTGGCAGGCCTCAATTAAGATCAGCCATCTGCACAGGACAACATTATAGTGCCCGAGAGTATGTGCAAGCACAGCATGACACTAAAGAAATGGAAAAATATAGACGAGACATTGGATCAGTAGACCAGACGGGCACTGCACTATGATCCAGGTTACAAAAATTACCTTCAACTTTGTTGCTAGCAGACTAGAGGAAATGGGGATGAACCACCCACAATAAGAAAAATTTTCGTCTTGTACTGGCTATCTTGATACACACGCCAGGAGCTTGTTTTTATTTGTATTGCATGCCTTAAGCGGGAAGGGTGCAGGTATTTTCTGCTAGGGCCTAAAATTTCAATGTTTTTATGCGGGCAACAACAACAGGCATTTGTATCATGGGCTTCATTGACTAACCATTAAAGATGTTCTTTGGAAGTCAATTCCGAAGTATCATAACTTGCACCAATGTTATTCCTCCTCCCCGTCCAGTAGAGCCGTCCTTGCTAAATTCCTGACTAAAGCCAGTCGCAGTAACTCTGCCTTCTCACCCTCCAAGCATTTAGCACGTAGCTCCAAACATAACATGATCTCGTAGGTGTCTGTTGACGAGAACACTGGTTCCTCCGACTCTAACAGAGGTAATGTGTCCAATAGGAGTGTCTCCCAAAAGCTGAAATGAAATGACATAATATGTTTATTTTTTCGAGAAAGTATGACAGATAGGGTTCATGTTTTTCTTTATTTGATTTTTTTATTAAAATTTATTTATATAGTATAGTCGTTACTCTATACTCGTACAAGGTTGACAATTGAGCACACAACCCACCTGAAGGTAAGTGGAAGCTGTGGCCCATAGACATTTACATCTATCCTCGACTAAGAATCAAAATGTAGGTGCGTTGTCACCCCTAGGGGCTAAGATGGAATGCCTCGTTTCCAATTAAAAGGCTCTTAGGTTGCCTACACTCACCATACAAAACACAGCAGCATTAAGTTGCTATTTTACTGTGGTATTCTGTAAGAGCGTAGTCCTACCCCAGTCAAGCTGACCCATACGTGCTTACAACCATACTATAACTGCAGCGTGGGTCAACATAGAAAATTAACTATTCTTTTCCTTTTCATCATCAGCCTATAAGAGTCCACTTCTGGACATGAACCTCGATCTAGAGAGGGTTTGCGTTAATCGTCACGTTTGGGAGGCGAATTTGTGATAGCAGTACTAAACGCTTCTCACCCTTAACACTCCTTTCCGTCGCCGTACTGGGTATTTTACGCCTGATGTAAACAAGATGATCCTACGATGATCTATCGGGTGCCATAAGAACCGTCATGTTGACCGCTGGCAGAAAAATTCTGCTTTTGACGACGTCAAAAAAAACTCGCCCCGCGTTTACAATTGGACTGTATGTTTATTTATTACGCGATATCTTCATCAATTGTGATTGGATTTGATTTTTTTTTTTATTAAATAGATAAACTTCAGTTGTGGTCCCATATAAATGTATTAAAAAAATTCCACTCCAAGGAGTGACAAACAAGGGGATGAAGTTAGAAATGTAACAATTTAGAGAACATTGATATTGTGTTATTTCTTAGTCCAATCTTAGCACTGACTTCAGAGTGTGAAATTATCGCTGATTCATAACCCAGTGATTTAGAACTTATGCTGGACTAATTAGAAGTATTTTGTATGCTAAAATATAATATAAATATGTATGAGAACTTACTATTCTGGAGCTATTTTGGATGTTATCAAAGATATAAGTAGCTTTGCCGCCTTTTTGAATTCTTTACTCTTGTATAATCTGTGGAAATCGCAGTATTTGCCTGTAACAAACATTTATTTTATATAAAATATTATATACATTTATAGAATAATTTTTATTCAATACAGATTATAAATATATTTAATTTAAAGTAATTTTAACTTTGACCACTGGTTCGGAAAAACACTTCTATCCTGGGAAAAACCAGAAAACTGGACTTTTTACACAGTAACATTACACAATATAAGATAGGTCGGACCATTATTTACAACACTCATAAGATACAGCTTGGAAGCGATCACCTCATTTCCAGGGGTTATTAGGTTATCTACCATGTAATCATTTATATTATAATAACCCTTTTTATCAGGGGGATGAAACTGCCATACAAATTTACAATAAAAAATGTGTCGAAAATTCTGCCCTCTAGTGAACTAGGTACACAAACATGTAGGCTAGTTTTCTTCAGCGTTGTATAGATAGCGTTAATTAGGCCAAAACCCCAGAATCCAAAACCCAAAAACCTAAATCTATGGCAGTTTTGGTCTATGGTTATAGTTGACACATAGATATGAAGTGTAGAGTACAAGGAGAACCATCTTATAAGGGGGCGAAAGTTGAAAAAGTGCCCTACTAAATATTTACTGAAAATCATAGATTACCTCCTAATAGATTCCGCATACAGGGCCACAAACGCGCGCAACACATACTTGCTGTAGCTAGCATACGAAGCGAAGCTAAGAATCACGATATCAGTATCGACCAAGTTTGTGATCCGTAGGCACGTCCGAGTTCTTGACAATTTAAAAATAGTTTTCTATCCAAAATACATTACAAATGGCTTCCTGTGCAGTAAAATGGTGTGACAAGTCAGCTAAGACATCCAGTTATCAAAAAGATGGCATAAATTCTAATTGGTAAGTAAATTCTATTCTTATCACGTTAACCTATTTCAAATGCACCGGAGATCAACTTATACTGGTATATTAATGGTGCAAAGTGATAACAATTAAGCACCCGTTGATGTCTTTTTGAAATGTCCCTTTCACTCGTTACGTAAATTACAATAGTTGTCTTTGTCTAACAACAGCACGTGTATCGATAGTGTTGTGATTTTCAAGTCGATATTTGTTTGGTCATCGTTTAATTATTTTTTTCGAAGTCATATTATTTTATAAAAATAGTGACGTATCATTGTGGTACCTATATGTTATAGGTTTCCTAAATGCCCCGAAAGGAAAAAAGATGTGGATCGACGCAAATTGTCGAGGGGACGAATGGTTTCCCACCAAAAATAGTGTACTATGCTCAAAACACTTCACAGAAGACAATCTTCATAATATTATGAAAAATCGTATAAAGCTGTTGGATTTTTGCCAGTTTTGGTATGGACTTTTGCATTTTTTTAAAGATTAGTACTAACGTAGATTACACAATAATATCATTAAGTGGTTGAGTGAAACATGGTATTCTTATATTTAGGTAAATGTTACACGTCGAAATCAAGCTATTTTAAACGGATTTATAAATCATAAAACTTGTAAAAGTTATAATGTGATTATTGTTTTGACTTGGTATTTAGTGTTACATGAACTTCAGTATTATCTTATTATAATTATTAAGTACATCTAAATTTGGAAGACATGCCGTATGGTATATTAATTAATAATACTATATCGGTAATGTAGTAAAAGAAACGAATATGTATTTCTGATTTAGATTACTGGTTCACCGCTGAAAGACGCGAAAAACCCGCCAACACACAAAAATCAGAGTCATTGCTTAGAAACGCCTACAAAACAAAAAATAAAATTTTCTCCTATACCTGATACGCCATCTGCATTTGATACTCCAGTTAAAAACGTCTTTGTAGAAGAATCATCGAATTAACCAACGTAATGAACAAAAAACATAAAAGAGTTAAAAAGTTAGTTAGTAGTTAGTTTCTTTGAAGTCATTATTGGTAGAATTAGAAAACAAAAATTCATTAGCAGCGGAAAACAATGACGCATTAAGTTCCTTAGAAAAATCAAAATCTAGAAAATCAGGCAAAATTGTTAGAAAAAAATATTCACCACAATTAAGAGCTTTTGCACTCACCATAAAGTACTCAGCTAGGCTTATAATTATGTACGCAAAACATTTAATACTTCTTTACCTTCTGTAAAAACACTAGGAAAATTTGTAGTTTTAACACAATCAATTAAGCTTAATTATAAATAATAATTATAATAAAATAATATATATATATAATAATAAAAATAATAAATATAAATAAATAAGCAGTTTTGTTAATGATGATATTTTTCATGAAATAAAAAAATCACCAATTCGATCACGAAAGTTGTAATCATGTCATTGATTTAGCTAAAGGTGTTATGGAAAAATACATAGACATACTCGTAAGATTACTCTACTCATCCAGGAAGACAGATCCTAAGAACTCTGTGAGACAATTATATACTAAGATTATCCATTTTAATAATCAGTCAAATATATATTTATAAATTAAATGTACAAATATATGTATACAATGTTTAATTTTTTTAATAAACATCAAATAAAAATTGATCAATATATTTATTTATCATTATCAATAATCAATAAATCCCAAATTTATCGATCAACGTCCCAACCCTGTTCCATCACTATGGTTTGGTACATTCTAAGTTTGACCTTTAAATATCCAATCACAGCATTTGCCACGTCCCCCGCAACCCTTGCATAGGGCCAAATTTGGTGAACTCGAAACAGAACAAATATTCAATGATGCGGTATCTATTAGGAGGTAATCTATGCTGAAAATAGAGGTTCCAAAACCTACCACAATAGCGCTGGCGTCTGAAAAACTACGATATGAAGACTGAACGATACAATACGAAGTTGTGAACGGAGTGAAGTCAGCTGAATTCAAATATTTAAAATATTTCATGACTAGAGTAGTTAGTAAAATGTCAGTATACAAAATCTCAACTATTTACGTAGTACAAAACCAAGCGGATTGGTCGGTCCTTGTTTATTTTTCCATCTTATTCTTATTACTTTTGGCGCTTTTTTTTTATTTATCCTATGCTACTGCAGCACCACCCTTATTGGACGCGTTTTTAGGGACATTTTTCTTATATAGAGATGGTCCTCCTTGTACTCTACACTCCATACACATAGATAACACAAACAACACACTCGGTTGACAGTTCTTTCAAATAAATACGAATATTATTGATACAATAATTCAGAAAACGAAAATATTTTGCTACTTTTCGTTCCTCTCCTGTGAAAATCATAATTTAGGCTTTATGATTATTTACTAAATTTAACAATAAATGTTCACAGTTTGTGTACTAATGTTAATAGGCTGCTAGATGGACAATTAATAACTACTGATTGGTGATTGTGAAAATGATAATGTCAAAACTCAAGCTATTAAATATTGTAACATTCATAAAAGAAAATAAATACATAAGTAAAATTATATTCAGTCTTTGATATTAATATTAAAAAAATCTTATGTGAAATAGGCTAAGTTTTATTATTGTTAATGTTATCCATAAAATTACTACTACCACCACTTACTACCATTTAGAGATTTAAGATAATCATTGGAGATATCCAATAATTATCTGGTAGAATGCATAGATAGAAACATTGCTAATAAAACTGCATAGTTCATAAATATTGTTACGAGCTTGGGGTTCGAGACAATTAAAAACTGCCGATTGAATTACCAAAATTGACACTTTAATTACACAACACTAATTACAATCTAAAATCACACTAATAATAAAACACAGTTCGCCGTTATTTCGCTTCGAAGTATTCTCTTGTATCGCCAATTCAATACTGCCCCGGTCGTAGTCTATACCGGCCTTATATAGGGCCTCAGATAGTTTCCAGAACCTTCTACTGTAGCGACATCTAGAATGTTCGAGTACATATCGGTCCCGAAATTTCTGGAAGGATCTCGACTCTCCTAGTTCTGCTACTCGACACTAGAGGGCGCTAGTGTAACTAGTGTTGCCATGTACAAGACATTAATAGTGGCGCGCTACACTTTCTTCTACTCGACACTAGAGGGTGCTAGTGTAACTAGGGTTGCCATGTACAAGACATTAATATTGGCGCGCAACAATATCAATATAGTCATTGACAAAATACGCCATCTAGTGGTAACCATGCGGTAATTATCGCAAGCCGCGTTGTACTAAAGAATACAGCGGCATCTAGCGTACACGGTACACTCATTCGAAAACTGAAATGTGAGTGGCGCATCTATCCCTGGTATATAGTGTATTATCTATGCTTTTTATAGTCTTTGTTTAATAAAAAATTAAAACTTAGTTATCGAGAGTCCTTGTATGTTTTCTGGGACTATGTTGCAATAATCATTGCTCCACGAATTATTGTTAATATTATTAATTAATATTGTTATTCAAATACACACTGACACTAATTTTAAAAGCCACAACATTCAAATAATAATGTTTCTTGTTGAACAAAAAATGTGTACATGATCAATATTTTCATTTGAAAACAATGTTGAGAAATGGGGATAACAATATACTAGGCTGCTTTCCATTTTAAACAGTACCCGGTATAGCAAACTAAAAAGGAAAGGCTTCACATTATACTGAATTGATGTCACACCTTACAGTGATCACAATGTATATCAGAACACACCCTTTTTGATTTTCATACATAACATACATTAAATTTTCGTAAATATACACTGAGAGACAAAGTAACTATTTATTAAGTAATATATTTATTTCTTTAAATTGTCTATGAAACCCTCTGTTTTACGTTGTAAATAGTTCTTATGGTCCTCTTCTGCAAAACACAAATAGTTTATAAATTAGCTGCATTTCCTCATAGCAAAATCCCAATTGCAGTTTCAATTTAAAAATCTGTGAAGTCTCATAATTATCCCCTACAAGGGAAGGTAAGTCATTAATATAGACTAGAAATAGGAATGGGCCGAGAATTAAGCCTTGAGGAACACTCATTAGTACAGATGACCCGGAGGAACTTTTTTCATTAATCATAACTTTCTGCGTTCTATTACTAGAGTATGAAAAAATAAATTAAAGTGCTATGTTCTTGATACCATATTGCTGTAGCTTCTTTATTAATGTCTCATGGTGAACACAGTCGAAGGCCTTAGAAAAGTCATAATTATTTTTTTGGGTATCAAAGCATCCTCTGAATTCTCCCATGCACAAAAAATATGTTTATTAAGCTCAACATCGGCGTTTGAGTGCAACACAGTTGTTGAGAGACGACTTGTGTAAGAAAATATATATTTCAATTAATTGGAATGGTAACAGAGAAAACGTAAGTAATTTTCGTCCAATTTCGTTTCCATCTACTTTGTCGCTTCGAGAGTTTAGTTCACAACTCAATTTTTCTAGGTATGGTATGGTTTTGTTGAAAAATGATTAACCGTCACCAATCTTCTTACTCTTGCAAATTTTCTTTTTCACAATTGTATACACTGACTTCTGTAAGGTTTTCAACAAAATAGATCTTACTTTGCTTCTTCAGAAGATATCGTTAAACGGAATTCGGGGCAATCTTTTGCGATCGTTTTCGTTAATCATTATGAACAGGATACAGAAGGTAGTAATTAATAATAAATAAATAAATATAGTAAGTATGGGTATTACGTGTACAAGAAGGGTTACCTAAGAAGAACAGCGTGTCTTTGAGCAGTTGGTGCTTTTATTTTGTTAGTTTAGTTAAAAGCAGTGCGATTTTGTGTATTAAGTGTGGGAACGATGACACAGGTGTGCTCCGATGGTGATATGAATCTCAAGATAATGTGCCTGCTAAGGTCCCTTGAGATATTCATCAACTATCTGATGAGGCAAGCTGTTGCCGAATCTCTCAAAAACTTCAAAATGTTACGCATTAACATATTGTGAAGTTTTTAAATAAATTATTATAAATGAAATTTTCTTATTACTTGATACTGGCAAAAATACATACGTGCGAGTCCATAACTAAAAACAAAAGTGGTTACCTAGAAACAGCAGCGTGTCGTCGAGCAGCAGCGCGGGCCCCGCGGTGAGCAGCAGGTCGGCGGCGGGCAGCGGCGCGCCCGCGCAGTACGCGCGCAGCACGCGGTGCGCGGCGCGCGCGCACAGCGGGCCCGAGCGCGCGCGCGCCGCCCAGCACACCGCGCCGCCCGCGCGCCCGCCGCGCAGCCGCCGCGCGCACACGCACCCGCACACCGTGCGCACTGCACACACACCACTACGTCACACGTGTCACTACGCCGCCCACACCGCGACCGCGAATACTCGCACGCTTCCGCTCACCATGCACTCTACACGCAGGAAGTGCACCGTCATTTAAAAACAAATTTATACGCGAACACGCACACCGTGCACACTGCAACATTGTAACGTCACACATCATGTCTACGAACCGTATAGTAGCGGTATAACAAAATACACTACCAGCCGCCGCTTGCCGCTGGCACCCGTACATCGTACGCGCAACACGTAGTAAGTACTACGTCACAAGTGTCACTACACCGCCTACACTATTCTTACACCGCCTACACTATTCTTACACCGCCTACACTATTCTTACACCGCCACTGCACTAACACTTCTGGCGGTAAGAGAATATCCACTACCCCACACAACCGCTGCACACACCCGTACCCCGTACGCACTACATGCAATAAATATGTCATTAAAGAACATTGTAGTAATATGTACTAAATATTAAAACAGACACAGTGAACAAAATCTCTAAGGGAATGCAGTGCGTGTCGTAAGAAGCACAGAGTACATTTAAAAGGTGCAGACTAAGTAAATTTGAGCCCATGGGCTCTTACGCGTGTTGCACCCAATCAAGTCTCGGCGTCTCTTCTAGTACGTAGTTCATATTAATTAAATGTTTGTCATATACCGTGCACACTGCATGTAGTTAATGCAAAGTCATTGCCATGGTTTTATTAATTTAGTTAATGGAAAGTCATTACCATGTTTTTATTAATTCGCTTTCGTGTATGTCTGTTCAGGTGGAATTTAGTAATTTATTTAAAACTAATTTCCCAATGCGTTCGATAATTTTAAAATTGCTTGGAATCGGATGACAATATACGAATATGAAAAAAAAAACATAATCGTAAAATTTTAAAACATAACTTTTAAAAATTTTACTTATTGTTCCACACACAAAGAGGACGGCGACGGGCAGCGGAGGCTGCGGGGAAGCGGCGGCGGCGATGGCACAGGCCGTGCGCTCGTGGCCATCCCCACATCATTGACTCTTCGATCTCAAGCACAATCGCGAATGCTCATGTCAAACTTTATTGTAATTACAGTGTGAATAAGCCTATTCGATTATAGAATTCAAATTTACTTATCTGCTCGAACATAAATGTTCCTTCGAGCCGGATGAATTATGTTGGAGCAGATAAATAAATGTGAACTGTATAATCGAATAGGCTTATTCGCTGTGTAATGAGAATAAAGTTACAGTTAAGTTACCCCCGCTACCCGCCGTCATCTTCTTTGTGCGTGAACACTTATTTAAAAACAGATTAGATACGCGCAAACGCACTCACCGTGCGTACAGTTACGTTGTTTTTTTATAGAATTACGGTGATAAACAAGCACACAGTCCACCTGATGGTAAGTGGTTGCTGTGACCCATAGACATAGACATCTACACTCACCATACGAAACACAGCAGTGTTTAGCTGCTATTTTACGCTGGTATTCTGTGAGAACGTGGGCCTTTCCCGGTCGAGCCGACCCATTCGTGCTACAACTCTTTGACTCGATCACTATACCAGTAATATAGCTGCAGCATGGCTGTACCACGTATATTGATATAATATTTATAAAGGCTTATTTTTCAAAGACTAGCCAAATTTAATAATTAAGTTCAAAATGTAAATATTGATAACACTTTTTGAGGTTTTTAAAAATACGCGTAAATCAAGTTTCTACATTTATTTCAAAATATCCGTAATTGAAGTGATTTATGGGCAACAAGAGCGCACGCTCGTATGTGCACGAGTCAATGCACAGAGCTTTTGCCAACTATTTACAAAAATAGTTAAAATAGACTTAGTAGTCGTGGCTTGGTCACCCGTGGTGAACAAAGAGGAACCCCTTGGCTGGCTCGTGGTGTAGGGCCGGCCCAAGGTGGCCACTCCGAGTAGGCTTGTCCTCTCCCCCTACCGCTGCAGCCGAGATGGAGTCGTGGAGGAAAAGAAGTGTTGGTATGCAAATACGCCACTCGCCCTATCCTACGCGACTCTGACGGGGCCGCACTGTTAATTGATGCGGTGGTGGTGGGGCTGCGGGTGGAGAGTATTGTTGGTATTGCGAGGCGCCGCTCTCCCTACCCTCCGCAGCCGAATCTTGGTTGGCGGCGGAGCCAAAGACCAGATCCGCCGCTGGGGTCAGGAAGGCTGGTGCTTCTGAGTGCTAGTTTTTCCTGGCTCCATGGCCTTCGCGCATCGACAACGGGGGCGTCCGTTGCGCATGTGAAATTGGAGGCCGCGCCATGTGTTCTAGTGCGCCTTACCTGAGAGAGTAGATTTTTTTTATAGAATAGGGGGCAAACGAGCATGCGGCTCACCTGATGGTAAGTGACTACCCTCGCCCATGAATGTTCCTAAGTCGTATCGGTCCGGAAAATTCGCTGGTGGTAATTGATTCCACAAGGAAGTTGTGCGAGGGAGAAAACTTCTTCTAAATTGCACAGTGGTGGACCGCCAATCATCCAGATGGTATGGATGGTAACGCGAGTTTTGTCGCGATGTGCGATGGTGAAATTGAGCGGCTGGAATTAGTCCGAACAATTCCTCAGAGCAATCCCCGTGATAGATGCGATAAAATACGCAAAGAGATGCAACATCTCTACGCAGTGCCAGTGTATCGAGCCGATCAGAAAGAACTCGGTCATCGACGATTCGAATCGCTCTGCGCTAGATGCGGTCAAGTGGAAGGAGCTGGCACTGGGGTGCCCCGGCCCAGAGATGAGAACAGTATTCCATGTGAGGCCGAACTTGCGCTTTGTAGAGTTGCAAGCGATGTGCCGGCATGAAATACCGTCTCGCTCTGCTGAGCACGCCAAGCTTTTTAGAGACCTGGCCTTACCTTCCAAGTGACCACGAAACTGCACGCTATTCGATATGTCGACGCCAAGGATTCCGATACTGGCTGAGGCAGCAAGGGGAGTGCCTTGAAACTGAGGAGATACGACAAAGGGGTTCTTTTTAGCGGTAAACGCGCAAACTTGTGTCTTCTGGGGATTGAACTGGACTAGATTTAGTCGGCCCCAATCCGAGACTTTGTTAAGCAAAGACTCGATTTCAGACACAAGTTTGTCCCGGTACTCGGCGACGTTTTCCCGAGAAATATTGGCACGGCCGGTATATAAGGCATCATCAGTGCTGTCGTCTGCATAGCAATGAATGCTACCAGTTAGCAACATATCATTGATATGCAGGAGAAACAGCGTTGTGATAGCAAGCAGCCTTGTGGAACACCAGCGTTTATAGGCTTGAAATCAGAGCATGCACCGTCTACTACGACCTTGATGCTCCGATCAGCAAGGAAACTGGTGATCCATTTGCACAATTTCTCGGGAAGCCCATAGGAAGGAAGCTTCGAAAGAAGCGCTTTGTGCCAGACCCGATCGAAGGCCTTCGCTATGTCTAAACTAACGGCCAATGCCTCCCCCTTGGACTCTACTGCCTCCGCCCATCTATGAGTTAAGTAGACTAGAAGATCACCCCCGACGAAAACCGTACTGGCGGTCACTAATCAGCTGGTGATCCACAAGGTACCTCATGAGCTGGCAGTTTATAATGGATTCCATTATTTTGGAGAACAAGGAGGTGATGGCGATAGGCCTGTAGTTGGACGGGTCTGAGCCATCGCCTTTTTTAGGGATCGGGTGGACCAAAGCTGTCTTCCATGAATTCGGGACTACGCCTTGAGAGTAGGAGTACCGGAAAAGACGCGTTAAAACCGGTGCCAACTCCGGAGCACACGTCTTCAGCACAATGGGAGGGACTCCATCGGGCCCACTCGACTTGCTGACGTACAGGGAGAAGAGTGCTTTGCGAACCGAGCGCTGTGTAAATCGCACATCCGGCATGGAGCTCTCACATCGCGGGATGGTCGGCGGTGTGTTCCCCCGTCATCTAGAGTCGAGTTGGACGCAAAAAGAGAGCTCAACAGATCGGCTTTCTCCTTTGCGGCATGGGCCATTGAGTCGTCCTCTCTGTGCAGAGATGGAAGAGATAGTTGACAGAAGTTCCCTTGGACAACCTTGGCGAGAGACCAGAATGCACGGATTCCCGAAGGAAGGCGAACTAGCCTCTCGCCAATTCTGCCGATGTGCTCAGATCTTGCCTTGGCAATGACGCTTTTTAAGTGCGCTGGTGTTTACATCCCGAGACGTTGATGCGTCAGCCCAGGCTCGGTAGCACTCCTGCTTATAGCGTGATGCTATTTTACAGGAGCGACCAAACCATGGCTGGGATCTGCCTCCGATGGGCACCACAGAGGGTGGAATAAAAAGTTTCATACCCTGAAGTACCACATCAGCAACAGAATCAGCAACAACGCTGGGATCTTCCGGCGAGAAGCAAACCCGCCACCAAGGGTAGGATGCAAAAAAAGACCGCATCCCGTCCCAATCAGCTGACCTATAGTGGCAAACACGGCGGCAAGTTGCAGATCGCAACTGCGATTGGAGCGTGAGTGGCACCGTACTCCGGATTAGACAATGGTCCTAAGAGCCCAGAGGGGCATCGACGGAGACCTGATATCCGTCCGGATGAGAGGTCAGCAGAAGGTCCAACAGGGAAGTTACATGGTCTTCCACATCTGGAATCCGCGTAGGCGAAGTAACCAGTTGTGTTAGACCATATGCCAAAGCAAAGTCATAGATGTACCCGCATGATCGGAGTAGATGGGGGAGTAGTCCTCTCCCGAGGAGAGGCAACTATGGGGCGGCCAGCGCTGGTGGGCCCGCAGATGTGTGCGAAAGCGTTCCCGTGGCCCTGCCAATATGCGACGAAGGTGGAACACCATGGGGTTTTAGCCGTTGCGAGTCAGACTTAACCCGTCCTTGCCCCCGCGAGGCAGGTATGCGTAGGCATTTCCCCATGCAATAAAAAAAAAGGTACGTCATAATAATTTTTAAATAGTTGCTCAAAAAGTGGCGTATTGCAGGGACGTATAGCGTTCGGGATGTGGGCTATACATACTCGTGCTTTTTGTTTTCCTTTTCAGAAAAAAAAGTTCGTGTGTTCTCGCGTTCGTGCGTTCTCTTTCCCAAATGTCAAAATAATGTCCATTAAAAAGAAAAAACCAACCACGAAGTTTTTACTAAAAAAAAATTATAGAAGTTTTTATGATTCATGCAAATATTTCTAAAAAGAAACTACTAATTTGTTTCAATATCAGATTTAATGATTTGATTCAATGAGTTAGGTTAGGTTTTATTTCATCTCATTAAATTTTATTTTCATTTCATATCAATAAAAAAATTCTACTGAAGACTTGGCTGTATGGGCATAGTTCCCTTTGCCTACCCAGAATGGGTGAAGAAAACAAAAAAATCTCTGCTTATATTCTTTTACGATTGGCGCCATATACTATTTTTTACATTTTACGACGTGTGGGATGGATGCTATGCAAATAAAACTTCTACACTCCACGTTTTAAATATTTTTTTTAGTCCCACACAAAAAACAGTTCGAAATACAAGTTTAGACTCCAGAGCGATGGAAAGAGGTGGAGAATAAATGTAAATAATTAGTTGCAGAAAAGATAGCTGAGCTAGGAAGCCGATGATAGGATGACGCGATTTAAATAACGCTTACGGCCTGGCGACGGGGATCGGCGGCACAATGGCGAAGCGGCAGGCGGGGCGACAATTCGCGCGGCGTGGTTTGAGGACCACGGGCAGTCACGTTCGCCGCCACGACCAGATAGGCCGGGAGTGAAATGTCTTTATCAAAGTATCTCGATATTGCTTAGAAAGTAATCGATTTTTGGTTCAAGACATAATATTTTGAAGAGATTGTAGAGTACATGATTTGAATAGGCTGAAGAATTCCACAAGAAGTACGAGAAGTACAGAATTTATCCAGAAAAATTTTTCGAATATACCAGAATGAGTGTCGAAATTTTCGATTATATTCTTGTTAAAACTAACTATTAATTAAAAAGCTGCTAGCAGGCCTAGCAAGTATCTCAGCAATAAAAGTTTCAGTATTAATTATTTCGCGGCGAAAACAACTAAACTATTTTGTATCCTATACTATTTGCCGCGTAAATTTCGCCGGTCGCTTCGCCACTCGCCGCTGCGCGTGGCTTGATCCGTACATTTCTATACATTTATTCTAGTCGTTAGACGCCTCGTCTAGCGACTAGAATAAATCGCTATGGCGAATGTCCCGTGGCCAGGCTGTTACTCAGGCGGCGTGAGCGTAGCGTTTAGCATTGAGAGCGTGTAAAACCGGACTGGTCGGTAAATATGCAGGATAATAGGCAGTGCTAGTATTGCCGAGTATTGTTGACCTCAGCCGACTCGAACACCGCGTACGCCGTTCGGCGAAGAACGACTTAATATGTTTATTATCATAATTTTACTACTTAAATATGCAATCATTTAAAATGACACTAACCAATCACAAAAATGTTTTCGAGGTGGACTATCGTTATTATTCCGTGCTAGTACACGTTGGTAATGAAATGGGCGATATCCAGAAGAATTCAGTAGTATCCACACGTACTGGCTAACTCTGAACTCGATCTTCCCTATTATATTGTAGTCTTGGACTCGATCACTGTGTTTTCGACAGCCGAGCTTATTACTCAATGACCACCTCGAGCACTTCCATGTGACGGAGTGGTGAACTGTCCAAAGTCTAACAGCCTTTTAATTCCTTTTCTTTGCAAACACGGTAAACACTGTGATATTGCACCATTTCATAGTACCCGCGGTTCCAATATTTTTGTCACGTCATTGGTAACAAAGCGTACATAATGAGGTCACTTTCAGCTGTTGGCTTGGCTGGGCAAGCGGACACTGGTATTTAGCGATGTTAAGCGAAGTAACGGTAAATAGAAAAGAGAGGGGGAGATGCGCTACAAGACACCCTTACGAATGTGTGCGTGCATAAAATAGTAAACATTAGATATTTATAAATGAAAGTCAGTTAAAATATTGCATTACCACATATTTTGAATTTAAGAGATAATAATGACAGAATGTTCGATACAATAACCAATTTCTAAATGTCTATATCAGGCGAGAGACTAACTATTGAATAAAACTAATTTTACGTATTCTATTGCGTTTAATTTAGCTTATTTTTAACTTCCAATGTTTCTTGTGCTGAGGTGGTGACTGATGTTATAGTTAGCCCGGGCTACCTATAGTTTTTGAATATTAATTGTTCTAATAGACGGTGCTAGTTTTTTTTTTAATACGGAAAACGCATCAGGCAAATGTTCGAACAATCCTAACAAAATATTATACAACATTATGCTATGAAAATAACTTAAAAAGCTAGTCTAAAATAAAAGTTACTGACACTAATATTTTTTATAAAATAGGGATGACAACAAAGGACACAATCCACCTGATGATTACATCTATACTTAATTATGAATCAAAATGCTAACACATTATCATCCCCGAAAATTTAGATGGAATGCCTCATTACAGCAACTCACTACATTCACCATATGAAACACAGCAGCATCAAATTGCTATTTCACGCTGGTAATCTGTGAGAGCGTGTCGGCCAGGGAAGGACATTCCCCGTTTGATATTATAGAGTATTTTTTACATAGTAGCGCCACACTGGGGATGTATTATGGATGAATAAAGAATAGGTCGGCCCAACCGAAGAGGGACCACTCTCTCACAGAACACCAGCGTCAAATGGCAGCACAGTGCTGCTTGTGTTTCGTATGTCGAGCATAGAAAACCGGAGATCGTTTTTACTGCTAAAGAGGTATTCTATCTCAGTTTTCCGGTGGTAACACATCTGCATTTTGATTCCTAATTGTGTATATAGACCATAACATTCACACATTATAGGTGTCTATGGACCATAACATTCACTTGCCACCAGGTGGACTGAGTGCTCTTTTGTCACCCTTATGTCTTCGAAATTAAATATTAACTATGAGTATTATCAACTCACCAACACCCAACAATTCATATTTCTTAGCTTCAGCGATTATCCGCATTGCTTTCGCTTCAGTCTCTATTGGAATCTTCTCCAGCAGGAGTTCGGCGCGCCTAAGACCTTCGGGGGGACATGAAGCCAAGTACGATAGGCCGACTGACCAAAGGGACTTGTGTTCCATGAGTAAGGAACCGTATTCCAGGATGAGGCTGTCTCGAAGACGTTTTGTGACACTGGAAGTAATATGAAAGAGATAAATCAACAATAGGGACAAGAACATTACGTATAGAGGAGGCGTAAGAGAATCTATCATCCCATTTCATCCTGTGGGTGTCGAAGTGGCAATTATGGAAAACCCGTGGAATATCTCTTTTCCAATAAATGACATTATAACTGTCTTGCTTAAGCCAGTCCTACAATACTCAGAGAGTCAAACACGCGTTAGATGAGGACTCCCACCAACCATATATTCGATCCTCTTCTATCCCAGATTGTCTTGTTCACTCTTCGATCATCTCCCTCCTAACATCTCTCATTCCATAAATTTTACTCTCTTTTAACATACTTAAGCCCTCCTTTTGTAGATACTATGTGTGATTTCATCAACACTAACAGTTTAAAACTTTAATTTTGGTTAACACTAACATGTTAGTGTAGTTTTAACAATTGTTTTTGTCACTTATTCTACGTAATTAAACAGCCATGCTATACGTGGTAAAGCCATGCTGCACCTATATTACTGGTATAGTTGTAGCATGAATGGTTCGGCTCGACCGGGGAAGGACCACGCTCTCACAGAATACCAGCGTAAAATAGCAGCTAAACACTGCTGTGTTTCGTATGGTAAGTGTAGAGAACTGGAGACCTCTTTTACTGGATAAGAGCCATCCCATCTTAGTTCTCATGGGTGATAACACATCTGCATTTTGATTCTTTATTGAGGATATATGTAGATGTCTATGGGTCACAGCAACCACTTACCATCAGGTGGACTGTGTGCTCGTTTATCACCCTAATAATATAAAAAAAACAGATCATTCTTTTTTTCTTTCTTTTTTTGGGGGCTTTTATCTTTATAGATTTGCCAACCTCATTGTTCCTTACGTAAGATTCGTATTATTTGATTGTACACAGACATTGTTTTTGTGTCTGCTGAACTACTTATTAAACACTTCCATGCTGCATCCAAGACGTCATAAAGAAAAAGAAGGCAAAGTGAAGGTCATTATAGTTGATGGAAGGTATCTACAGAGAAATCAAGCCAGCAGAACATTGTTGCTATGTAATTGAAAGTACTTACTCTGTTTGATGCTTATCCAGTATTTGCAGCTTTCCACAGTGATACAGAATGTCTGTGAGATGTGTAGCGAACCAGCCATTGTCCGACATTTGTTGTATTTCATGGATCACCTGGAAATGAAAACGAAACTTTGAATAAGAGAATTATTGTTATGAAATTTACTCATTTTGAGATCCATATATCATCACTGGCAACATGGCATATGCCTATGGCCTATGCCTATGTTCAGCCTTCCTTGTAGCAGCAGATCTATGAATACCACAGATTAAAAAGACATTTCTCAACAAAAGTGAAAGGTCTCAGGTTTTCATAGTGGCGTAGCAAGGCCAGCGGGACCATGGCCCCGGGTCAGATATCAAGAGGCATTACGAGAAAGAAAATAAGCTGTGTGCCTTGACTTATTAAATGATATCGATAAATATTTCAAAAAAATCTCACTTTCTGAAAAATTTTTTTGTTTAAGACCACAATGTCTATAGAATTGAAGTTCTGAAAAAGGAGGTAATCTGTACACACGGACACTTTCCCAGGACACCGTGGCGGCGTAAGGTAATCAACTACACCTATATCATCACATGTGTCGTAGGACTTAACATAAGGAAACATACAGTAGATGGGCAGCAGTATATTCCTGACAAAAATTAAAAATAATAATAAGTCAAGCCAAATGTAGCAACTAGGCAAATATCCCACCTATATATGGGTAAGCCTCTGTTCAGCAGTAGACTTTGTTAGATTGTAATGGTGATACATTTTCCACACTACAACACCGTTTCATATGTTAACACACAGCTTAAATATGTATTTGTGTATATTGTTATTTTTACTAGTTTTCTGTTTAGTTTTAATTTTTAATTAAATGTGTATTGTGTGAAGAATAAGTCATTCTTCATTCATTCCAAAAAACTGTGTTTCTTATGGTGAGTTTAGAAGACCAGAGACCCTTTTCACTGATAACAATGCACCCTCTTAGCACGCAATAATGCATAATTTTACACTCTGATTCTTAATCAAGAATAGATGTAGGTGTCTAAGGGCGACAGCATCCACTTACAATGTGCCCGTTCGTCAGCTGTATGCTATAATAAAGAGAAACATACCTGATGCAAATCCCCCTCCAGCAAGGCTCTTATGATAACATCGAGATGCGATTGCGGGTGGGGCCCGTCTAGCGCTGCACAAGCGTCCGCAGCGGCTGCCAGTTCACGGCTTCGTGTCCACGGCCGCGTGAACAGCACGTACCCGCCCAGAAGGTCGAACCACGACGCGTACTTGCGACGCACCGACTCGAACGCGGTATACTCGCCCACCATCAACTGTTGAGTGGAAAGCTCGGTTGAGTTATACAGATCGCGAAACATCACGTGGAGTTTGTAAGAGTTCAAAGAGTATATGTTACGGCCTACAGCTGCTCCAGCAAGGGTCGAATCTTCTGGGGCCCATGAGCAGAAAATTCCACGAGCAGCCGCAGGTCGGGCCCAAAATGACCACATGGAAGAATTTCCTATAACACTAAGCTATATGGGAGAATGCTAGAAACACATATTACGTACCTGTTTGCGACTCTTATATCGCCCCAAGGTAAGTGGGTGGGAGGTGCATGGCAAGTAGTGTTTAGTGATGTGTAAATGTGTGAGACCTTGACCTCCTTAAGCGAACAGCAGCGGCCGAGTTCCAGGCTGCCCCAAAATGCTGCATCGCACCAGCAGGCTACACCGCTGGACCATTTCTTTCTTCCTTGTCACTATTTCAGTCTATTAGCTTCATTGCACATTTAACTAACTTAAACTCGCCTAATTCCACATTAATCGTAGAATCGAACACGTGATACCCGACACAGTAAGGACAGCAGTTCTAATTCGACATACAATGTCCCGGATTCACTTATCACAAAATTATAAAGAGGGAATTAAAGCGATCTCTTAATGAGTCATACTATTCAGCGTTAAACACAACTAAGTTCCTTCATTCGACACCAAAACACCACGTCGCGAAAAGATTCAAAGTACGCCTCGTTGACGCGTAAACTAACAAGCCAACACACACAAAAAAGGGCACTTAACGCGACGGCACGATTATAATGATTTCCTGATGATCAACTGGGAGAAGCTCTCGAACAAGGAATGCGCGGTTCGAATCCTAGACCGTATATACACGACGCGCGCGTGCACAATTCCGCATCCCCGAACAAGCTAAATATTGCAAAATTCACATATCCACGTAAGGAAGTAACACGCCCTTAATCTAACCATCTGGACCCGACAGCGGTCGCGTGAACTTCCGCCGCAATCACGAGCTACGCGGGTTCCCCCCATCGCGGCTAGTGGGCAACTCTGAAAACGCGCCCACGCGTCGAGCTACTGCCAGCCGCACACGGCCGCCGCACCTCGACGCTTATCTCACCTACATACTATCGGGTGACGCGCCATCTCGAACGCAATTGGGTGGCGTTCAAACATAACCAAAGAGCAATGGCAGAAAAATAGTTGACAAAAATTATAGCGTCTAGAAATAAGTTATATATAAAATGAGTTTTATTATTTTTCTATGATTTTTCAAATAAAAATGTATTTTTATTAAAGCCACAGAAAAAAACGAACATTTTTGGAAATATCAAATGACTGAAATCATTTTACTCTATTCAAATGTTGCCATTTAGTATATTCATACTATATTCGTATACACTTTGTAACACTACCAACATAACACACAAAATATTCTTATATTAAGTTATTATTAGTAATAACTGTACTATCAGTAATAACAAAAATAAAAGTAATATGGCTGAGAATAAGTCTCTTACAAAGAATTTCCTACAATAATACATTATCTCAATCATAGTACTATGTAACAATTCCATTTAATGTTATGCCAACACTAGCTAAAATAAAATGTCAGTTTTTTTACTGGCTTTACGGCTCTGGGTTCTAGACCTTCTGAGAATGTCACTATGGTACAAAAGCCCTGGAGCCATGCCAGAAATATACATTTATAGTATGCAAATATGTAATTGAGATACAATAATCTAAAAGCTCTCAATTATGTATTATGTACTAAGCTAACATCAAACAACCACAGGAAGCATGACTTTTTCCAAGTGATATAGGATATAACCTAAAAAGGTTCAAATGTAAATATCTTTTTTTTGACGCCTTCTCAGTACAAAATTCTTTGACAGAGTTATTAAGGGACTGACGCTTAACATTGTAAGATATTTTTGGTATATAGACGCTACCATTTCTTCTCAACTAATTTTATGTATGAAAGTCTGCCATTGCTCTTTGGGCATAAACAGTATATAATAGTCTAAGAGCTGGCGACGAATTTTAGGAAGGTCCTTTTGGCAAGTTGAAATTGGGTAAAAATATAATTTCATCAATTGGCGAATCTCGTCCCGTGAGTCTGGGAAAGCGTTTGCGGTTATTTCGTTACTGCGCTGCATATAACATTTGCAAAAGAAAAAAGAATCCAAAAAAGATTTAAAAAAACTTCATTTTTTTAAATCTTTTAATTTAGTTTTTATATAATTCAAAAAAAATATTATCATCAATAAATTCCATAACATTATAATAACCCTTTTTATACAAACTTTGTTTAATAAAGATTTTGAGCTTTGAGGAGGTAAATTTTTGTATATTTTCTGGTATTTTGTTATAAAAGTGTATACATTGCTTCAGAATTAATTACTGGTTCAGTGGAGTCGAGCAATTGTTACTACTACTACCTTGTGTCAGTTCCTAGTATTTATAGAACGAATATCACTTTTTTTTTAATTTTAGTGTATGTTTATTACATTTTCATAAATGTATTGAAAGGCTTAAAGTTAATATATTAATATTCTTAAATTTTTGTCTGATTGAATGATATGACATGATTTTACACACTGCCTTAGTAGACTTCAGTTTTTACTATATTATTTAATTAACTTTTTTATTTTAAAGCATAATTTCAATTCATATTTTGGTTAATAGAATTAGATATTACACATACCCTCATAATGAGTTCTAAATTTGGCTGTGAAGTCAACGCCTGGCTGGTCAATTTAGACCTACACTCCGCCTGCCAATGTTTCCAAACAATGGTGAATTCCCCTGATGAGACACCACCGTAAACCTGAAAATGTAACGTAAATGTACCATCAAAATATATCAATGAAATTCTTGTAACATTCATTCATCCATTACAGCGTATTAAAAGTCCACTGTTGAACATATCCCAAATTGATTGCCTTATAGGAGGGTTACTTGCAATATTTGCCATGCTTGGCAGACCACAGGTTTTTCAAATATTTTGATGACGGCCATCTCCTGTGTCATTTCCCACTGTTGCTTCTAACAGCAACCATGATATGAGGAAGTAGATTCTTATACAACGCTTATATGGCAATATCTTAAACAATACTTGCCTTTATTTAGTGGCAGTACTTTCACTCTTTGTCATTCTAAATAATAATTCTAGTATTACAAGATAATAAGCTGCCAGAGAACGTAGTCTCAGCCCAAAATGTGAACCAATTCAAAAATAGATTAGATGACCACTTTCTGAATTGCAAAAGGATTAACTAGTGGATAAAACCAGATACAGGCATTATCAGATAACTGCCTGCTAATATATAATAATAATAATCGGTGTAGATGAGGCGGGTATGAAACGGTCAGTTTGTGATGTGTTTTATGCACGCTTGACCAAAGTGCTTAATAGCCTTTTGTCCGGTGTTAATAAGACGCACGCATATAACGGTTGGATCATGCCTGTTCTCATGTATACCTTTGGTAAGCTCAGGTGGACTCAGACCGAACTGAATGCTCTGGACAGAAAAGTCCGCACTATTATGACGTCCCACAGGATGCATCATTCGAGATCGTCAGTAATGAGTCTGTACTTGTCGCGGAAGCATGGTGGGCGCGGCTTTTTAAGCGCGCTTATCATGCATAATCGCGAAGTGTGCAGCCTCCGTAATTACCTTTTGATGAGAGCGGATGATCCATACTATAGGGGCATTATTTCTAGTGATAAAGATTTAACCCCTCTATCCTTAGCCAACGAGCAATAGCAGGACCCGGCAGTACAGAGCATTTCCAACCGGGAGACCGTATGGAAGGAGAAAGAGCTCTACTAGAGGTTCTACAAGGCTCTTCTCTTCGTGAGCCTTTCGTAGACACAGTCTCCTCCCTCCACTGGCTACATTTCGATGACCTCTTTGGGGAAACCGAGGGTTTTGTCTGTGCAATACAGGATCAGGTTATTAAGACCAACAATTATCGGAAATACATCCTAAAGGATGGCGCCGTCGACATCTGTGGAGCTTGTCGCTATCCCGGTGAGTCACTTAGGCATGTCATCTCCGGTTGTTCGGCGCTTTCTAACTCTGAGTATTTGCACAGACACAACCTAGTAGCTGTCACTCTCACTCTGAAATAGGGTCTCCTGGATCCGAAACTGCCATATTATAAGTACTTACCAGAAGCCGTTCTCGAAAATAACCGCACCACACTCTATTGGGACTGGGCCATCATCACAGACAGGACTATTCTTGTGAATAAGCTTGATATTATGCTGATGGACCGGGCACAGTCACGGATATTTTTGGTCGACATTACCATTCCTTATGACACGAGAACCTCGTGAAAGCCGAAACAGATAAGCTGTCAAAATATCTGGACCTGGCTCACTAGGTGACCGACATGCGGGGTGGTCTGCCAGCCGAAATTATTCCTGTGGCCGTTTCTACAAACGGGTTAATCCCAGTCAGCCTCTCAGGTCATGTGAGGCGACTGGGACTCCGTGAGGGACCGCTCCAAGCTCAAATGCAGAAGACGGTGCTCCTCGATACTGCCCGCATCGTCCGCCGGTTTCTTTCCCTTTCCCCCTAACCCTCGGCCGTTTGGTCTCCCCTGCTGAGGGCTTCCATCTGGTTGGGATTTTATTTATGTTTTATTTATTTATGTTAGTATATTAGATATATATTTATGTGATTTAAGATATTTATTTCTCAAAAGAATTATAATTCACTTACATGTTTGAAGAAATGTTCACAATGTTACATAGCTTATTTCAAACGGCACGACACACAAACAAAGTGATAACAAAATAAAATGACACAGTTTTATACACAGCTTAGCAAAGTAAAATAATAAAAGTAGAATGCAACCATTAAAATTAGCATTCATTTACTCTATTTGGTTCGACCGCAGAGTGCAAAAATAATCATATACCGACGTTATGCTTCGCTTAATCGAATTGATGTTGAATTATCTGGAAGTGATATGCATTCTTAATTGAGCGCAATTACTACTTGGTCAATGCTATATATGCTTTCTTAGATGTATTTTTTAAACTTTTTACCAGTATATACATACATACATAAACACTCACGCCTGTCACCCAGAGGGGTAGGCAGAGATTATGGACTTACATTTGGCATGATCCTGACATACCTCTCTCGCTTCCTCCACATCCATATACCTACGCATACACGCTCGTCGGTTAAAGGTACTCTTGATTTGGCCCATTTTTAATATATCGCCTATTTGGTCGATAAACTTTCGCCTAGGGCGACCCTTCCCGACTATGCCGTTCACCTCTGCAACATAAATTTGCTTTGTCACTCTTTCCTCATTCATTCTTTCTACATGGCCAAACCACCGAAACATTCCTTTCTTAATCCTGGTCACAACATCATCTTGCAAATTGAAAGAATTGCACTAAATCATATATTAACCTGCCAATCATGATGATTAGAATAACTTTTTTTTTATAGGATAGGGTGACAAAGGAGCACATAGTCTCCGGTTCTCTACACTCACCATACGAAACACAGCAACGTGAAGCTGCTATTTTACACTGGTTTTCTGTGAGAGCGTGGTCCTTCCCCGGTCGAGCCGACCCATTCATGCTACAACCATACTACTAATATAGCTGCAGCATGGCTCTACCACGTAAAAAAATCAGCAGAATATGCTTTAATAGCATAAAAATGTGTCTATAATGCCAAAACTTATGTATCGACTAACTGAGCTGAACCATTTGTGCTACAGCTTTAGCTGAAGCAATTCACACAAATCCTAGTCAACCCCTAATAGTTCACTGCTGGACAAGGGCCTCCTTCATTTTAGGAAGAATTTGTCTTAATTGTCATGCTTAGCAGGCAGATAGACAACCACAGTACTAGACTTCTCTCACTTTCATAATTAGAAAAATATACTTACACTATAAACTGGCATGGTCCGTAAGGAATTGTCAACTAGTTTGAATTCATTCAATTCAGCTGATGAGTGTAGTTTTAAAAGAGCCCTTGCCACATCAATCCTGCCTTGGACGACCATCCCCACCACAGTATCCCAATATTGAGGATGGTCTTCAGAACCTCGTTCACAGGCTTCCAGCATCTGTGCAGCAGTCTGTTCATGACATGGAAAATGAAACCGCACCCACTCTAACAAAAATGGCAACACAATATCACCAGGTATGTTATCTATAAATAATATCTCACTTAAATGCCATATACATTCTATTGAATAAAAAATTGTAATGTGGGACAACAAACTATTTTTTTCTAAGCTGTCTGTCTCTTTTTCAGCAGCTTCTTGCAAGCTTTCAATGCATACTCGAACAATGGAGCGGTATTGGCGGGAAAGTTTCAAAAATTCCACCTGGTTATCTGAATTTTTGGCGTTTTCAGCAGTTTTTTGCAAGGAAAGGAATGTGCCATTTGATTCATTTACAAGTTTTCTCAGTATCGAAGTAAAAAGTAGAATTTCTTGTCGAATATTTAAAATTTTGTTATCAATTGTATTTGTTGGAGTTTTGTTAACTATTTGGCTTCGGGGATAAATTGTGAATGTATTTCCACGGCGCCATGTACAAGCTATGTTCTTTTCGAAACATTGTTCAGGTAAAATCTGTAAAACAAATAAATATTGAGGACACACATACATAACCTTATTGTTCACTTTTCCACACAATACTTACGAATGTTTTTGCTTGGTCACTAGATTTCAAAGAACTATCTGCCGGTGTGTTAGAAAATCCTGAAATATTCATGATAACGCCCACAATTTGCACGATTTTTTTAAAAACGCCGTTTCAGAAAATAATAAATATACTATAAACAAAGAGTATAGTAACTGTCCTATCAAAGAGTATAGTAACTGTCCTATACAGGAAAAGAGAGCCCACTCGCGCGAAATCTGTCAACCGAGGAGTACTAGCGCCGTCTGGTGTCGTTTCGCCACAATATTGTGAGAATGTGTGCGTGCGTATAACACATGCACCTCTACATATACACCTCTATTCATGGTAATTCATTACGGTTTATGTACTAGGATTAATTATCAACAACCAACTGTGAATTAAACATTTGAAACATTTTTAAAAGATAACTGCATAGTAACTAAATGCTTCAAATGATTAATTTAATAGTCGGTTGTTAATAATTAATCCTAATACATAAAGTGTGCTTCATAATTTGTAAATAGGAATTTAGTATAATATGTTTTAACGTGAATGAAATTAAACACAAATAATTGGTACATTATTCTATATTTTTTGAACTTAATGAAAATAAAGGAGATTGATAAAGATTTAACATAGTTTTGACAATTACAACACATAAAACTAATATTTTGACTATAAACTATCCATTCAAACTCGACAGACCAGCACAGTGCTGCCAAATCAAAAAAAATAAACTCATTAAGTTTAGCGTTATGGCGCGTCTCCACCAAAGTTTTGTCGTCAACACAACATTTGTCAACACGTTTTGTGAACAAATCTTTCTGTAATCACCTAGTTTTAGCAACAAAACGAAACAATGTCGGGAATCGTGTTTCCATTTTCGGCGGCAACATCAAAGGAATACGCTTGTTGCAGACATTTGTTCACTCGGTGGAGACGCTTCTTGCAACATTTTGAAACATTTCGGAAACAAAAATGTCGTCAACTTTAGTTGATTTGTCAACAGTTGGAAACATAAACGTTCAACTCAACAAAAGTTACCAACTTTTGTTCCGATGTTTTTGCATCGAATTGAAACATGCGGCCAACAATTTGGGAAACATTTTAGTTAACAACTTGCTGTCTCTACCAAAGTTTTATTGGCAACAATATGTCTTCAAGTGACGATATTTATAATTTTATGCAAAAAGCAGCCGCAGTATTTATAATTTTATGCAAAAAATCACCAGTAGTTTTGGAGTTATCCTTAATAATGCGTATTAATGTTGAAGTCGGTTATAGGCAAAATTTTTTTAATTTCATTAGTTGTCTCTCTTCCTCTCTTTTTAAAAAACGTTACCTCCACACTAGGATTTGATCTTGTATCGCAGGGAAAGTTTATATACATAGAACGGACCTAGAACAATTATTTTAGGCCATACAAATACTTGTTCCGGGATTCGAACCCGCGGCCCTTAGCGCTGCAATTCATTACTAAACCACTGCGCCATGGAGCCGTCATTTGTCTGTTTCACATTTTTTAACTATTTACAAACATGCGATACGCGACTTCATTATTAATGAAAGAGTGGCAATGAGAAGTATTAAACTAATAACCAGTACATGCTGATCTTGCATTAGTAGGCAGTCACTAGTACTGGGAAGTCTACTTACACTGAAAATTTTTATTGTCATTGGCATTATACGCGAAAAAATCAAAAAATCAAATAATAAATCTGTAACTATGGCGTCAGTAACTAAGTCCCTAATTATCTAGATCTGCCTTTAAATAATAATATAATTTTGATTACACACATCCTATAATATATTTTGTGAACGATATAAATAAATTAATGTGTCGATTAATTCGTTCGTCCACGTGACAAGCATGTCGCCGAGAAATATTTCCAACAAGCGTCTCCACAGAGGGAACAAATGTTTGCAACAAGCGTATACCTTTGATGTTGTCGCCGAAATGGAAACACAGTTCCCGACATTGTTTACAAGTTTTGTTGCCAACACTAGGTAATAACAGAAACATTTGTTACCAACACGTGTTGACAACACAAAAGTTGATAACACCACTTTGGTGGAGACGCGGCTTTAGGACGACACAAAAAGCGCTAGATTTCATGACAACATATCTTTAAAAAATGCTAGATTTCGCGCTAAATTAACTACATTTTTCGTCACTAGGTCCATTTAACGCTATAACAACAGCATATGATTAGTCGGTCGGCGTCCAAAGCACATGGCGAAACATCAAATCCAATAAGAGGGCCCCTTCGTATTTTTCAAATTCGTTTCTTTTACAAAAATCGGTTGTCTGTAAAGTCGGTTTACTGACGATAGTTGAACATGACAACGTCATAAGAAAATGTTGCTATAAACAATTGACACCACATTCACTTTTCACTGCACTTCATACTTGACGAAAACATGTAAATGTATTATTGTATAGCAGCTGTCCATGCGGACGCATCGCTCACTCATGTAGGAGAGAGACAGATGTCGAACGCTGCCGAACGCGAAGCCCGATTGTGCCTCTTTGTCGCTCGTTCCGCCCTCTCGCTTGCACTTCAAGCCTTAAATGGAACACCTCAGAGCGAGGTAACGCCGCATGAGTCATGTTTTTTTCCTGCGTGCAGCCAGCTTCGTCTAATTATATAACGTTGTACGTCAAAAAATCAAAATATTTTATTCAGTAAATGATCATACATTAATTATAACCGGGGACGGTAATACACTTTAAATCTAACATATTTTAGGAAAGTACTGAAATTAAAAGTCGTTAAACGATAAATTATTATAGAAATTTTGTCGTATCTCCTCAATTTCAGAACACTTCCGGTGTTGCCGCAGCCAGTAGCGGAATCTACAGCGTCCACATATCGAATGACCTGCAGTAGCATGGTCACTTGGAAGAGAAGGCCAAATCGGCCTCTAAAAAGCTTGGCGTGCTCAGCAGAACGGGACAATATTTCATGCCGGCCCACCGCCTGCAACTTTACAAGGCACAGGTTCGGCCTCACATGGAAGACTGTTCCCATCTCTGGGCTGGCGCTCCCCAGTGCCAGCTCCTTCCACTTGACAGCATCCAGCGCAGAGCGGCTCGAATCATCGACGACCGAGCCCTTGCCGATCGTCTCGATTCACTGGCGCTGTGATGAGATGTTGCATCCTTTTCCATTTTCTAACGTATTTACCACGGAAAGTGCTCTGAGAAATTGTTCGGATTAATTCCAGCCACCAAATTTCACCAATACACATCGCGACAAAACTTTCGTTACCATACGCATCATTTGGATGCTTGGGGTTCCACTATTACACTATGGTGCGATTTTTTAGGAGTTTTCTTATGAATCGTTTACCATCGGCGATTTTTATGGACTGGTTGTACTGGCTGACATAGGCGTTTCACGTTAAAACCAAAGACCGTGTTCCCCGACACAGGCCCACCCGATATCTTTATTGGTATGGGTACAGTATTGTTTATTGTTTCACCTCCTAAAACATTGTAGATGATTAAATCTGCATTCTGTATAATATTTCTTTCGATTGCACCAATCGATAAACATTGTTAATCACTAACTCATTTGATGATGTTACTGGATAACGGAGGGCGCTTATTACAATAATGATAAATGTTCTAGAACAATTTACCAGAAATAATAAAATTTAAAAATTATGGGGTAAATATATATTATGCTTGCGATAATACACCGAAATCACATTCAGTTTTTGCTCCGTATCGGGACTTACAATACGTTAATGCACAATTAGGAATATTTTCTTTAAAAATATTTTTTAAACTTAGGTATCGAATGTGTCTTGAGCATAGATTAATGATAAGTATCGATATCTAGTCATCGCGCGCTCTGACTAGCTACCGCGCTCTGACTAGCTACTGCGCTCCCTGCCAGTAACAGCTCCATGATTGCGGCATCTTAATATTGTAGTGTGTATAAGACAATTAGCATGATGCTATTGTTTGTGAAAAATTGTATATGCCAGCAGCTTAACTATTACCTGATTAATGGGAAAATTTATTTTATACTATGGCTTAGTAGTTAAGTTCATAGTTATGAATGTATTCCAGAAATACTTAAAAATGAATAGTTTATTAATAACGAATATATCAATATATTTGTGTATATTATTGTTGCGCGCCACTATTAATGTCTTGTACATGGCAACACTAGTTAGGTGCCAGAGGTACTCCTAAGATCGTGCATGTGGATCGACTGGCGCGTTATTATGGGGCCAATAATGCTCGGGACGAGCATGTCTTAGGAGGGGGCAGTGTTGCGCGCCACTATTAATGTCTTGTACATGGCAACACTAGTTACACTAGCGCCCTCTAGTGTCGAGTAGCGGAACTAGGAGAGTCAAGATCCTTCCAGAAATTTCGGGACCGATACGTGCTCGAACATTCTAGATGTCGCTACAGTGGAAGGTTCTGGAAACTGTCTGAGACCCTACATAAGGCCGGTATAGACCACGACCAGGGCAGTATTGAATTGGCGATACAAGAGAATAATTCGAAGCGAAATAACTGCGAACTAAAGTCATTGTGTTTTATTATTAGTGTGGTTTTAGATTGTAATTAGGGTTGTGTAATTAAAGTGTCAATTTTGATAATTCAATCGGCAGTTTTTAATTGTCTCGAACCCCAAGCTCGTAACATTATGTATAGGTTTTTCTTCTGAATAAATGACATATAAATGATAAGGCCTCCTTTTTGTCAGTTTATTTTTTTTATTTACATGTCTAATATTCACAAATTATTTAAATAAATAGTTATATTTATGGTGTAATCAAAATAGTGCTTTCTATTCTACGCGTCAATATGAACAACTTTTACAATAGATCTATCTTCCAAATCGCAAGAAAAATCAGGTCTTCCATACATTTTGAGTAAGTTTATACGAAATTTTGTATGGAATAACTGACTTTGAGATATTTTTTATACGATCAGGGTGACAAACGAGCACTCAGTCCACCTGATGGTATGTGGTTGCTGTGGTCCATAGACATATACATCTATCCTCGGTTAAGAATCAAAATACATATACAGATGCGTTGCAACCCCTGAGGACTAAGATGGA